AGGAGAGCGAGATGAACGTGATCGCGGCGGACATGTGCACCAACGCCCGCCGCGTCCGGAAGCGCTGGCTGCCCAAGATCAAGTCCATGCTGCCCGAGGGCGTGGAGATGTACCGCACGGTCATGGGCTCCTCGGCCGGCGTGGCCCTGGACCCCGAGTTCCCGGCCGCGGCCGCGCAGGTGTTCGAGCAGCGGCTGTACGCGGAGCGGCGGGGCGACACGGCCGCCATCGTGGCCCTGAGAACTGACGCCGTGAACGTCGACCTGGGCGGCCCGGCCAACCCCCCCTTCGAGGCCGGAGAGGAGGCCGAGGGGGCCGGCTCCGTCATCCAGGAGGTGGCCGCGCCCGAGCCGCTGCCCCCCGACGGCCAGAGCCCCCCGCAGCCCTTCGAGCAGGGCGGCCCCGGCTCCCGGCCCCCGACGCCCGCGGCCCGGAGGCCAGACGGCGCCTACGCGGGGACTCTGTAGAGGCCGCGCCGGGGACGGACGGCCGGAGCTGCTTGCATGCGTTACTAATACAAACCAATGTGATCGAGCCACTCACCTACTGATCGGCTGTTGCCTGAAAACAATGTGATTTCTATTCTGCTTGTATTTAAGGTTCATGAAGGAGACAGATGCGTTCGGGACACTGTAAGCACGTAGGCCACTGGCTGCCGCCGCACGGCCGGCCCCTTGATACGCGAGGTCGGTCTCCACGTGTAGCTTCACCCCCTTCTCAGACGGGACCCGCCTGAGCCCCACCCCTTCCTGCCCCTCTGCCAGGACGAAGCCAGGGACCCGCCCGCCCCTCTGCGGCCACGGCCGGGGCTGGGCCCCAAGGGCCAGACTCCTTGTGTTCCCTTCTTCCTGCGACGGGGTCAGGCCGGCCTGGTCCGAGTGCGTGTGGGAGGGTGACGAGCCGTGATGGGCCTTGCTGTCCCGGGAGAGGAGAAGGGGCTCCCGGCTGGACCTGGGCTCACCCCAATGCCCCCCCCCCCGCACCTGGGCCCCTCTGGCTCCTGCCCGGCTGCCCGCTGGCCTGTGGGGCGGGCTGCCCCCCGGTGCCCGGCCCTCGGCCTTGTTGGGATTCTGTGTGTGTGTGGGGGTCTGAAGTCAGCTCTTCCAGACACGACTTGGGAACTTTCAGACCCAGAAGAGCAAACAATGAGGGAGGACGGGGTGTCCCTGCCCCGTCCCCTGTGGCTGGGGGGCGGGTCCTCTGTACACCGTGTCCCCCCCAGGCCAGGGTTTGCTCACCTCCTGCTGGGGCAGGCGGCCCCCGGACGGGCAGCCAGAGTGTGTGCTGAGGGGAGGCCACTCAGGGGCCAGCCTGCAGGTGGGGGGCTGCTTGGTGAGGCAGGAGCCAGGCTGGGGCAGCGTGGGGCCCCCGTGCTGTGCTCCGACCCTTGGGGGAGCCCCACGCTGAGGCTGCGGGGGGTGGGCGGTGAGCACGGGCCGAGCCAGGCAGGTGGCAGGGCGCCCGGACAGCAGGTGCGGAGGCTCAGAGGCACGGGGAGGGCGGCGAGGAGGGGCCCAGGGCGTCGGTGTGCTTGAGGCTGCGACGTTCCCTCTGCAGTTTAGCTGCTGGTTTGGGGGAAGGGACAGGGCTCCTGCAGCCGCTCGCCAGGCCTCCGTGTCCTGGTCCAGGGGCTGCCTTCCTCCCAGGTCCCGGCAGCATTGCCAGGTGCCCTGTCCCGGCTCCGCCTCCCCGGCCCCTCCACCCTGTGTGACTCAGGACCCCCAAAGCCAAGGCCCCCCAGGGCCGGGCCACACGGGGTTCCAGGGTGGGGCGGCCTGGGGTGGGGGAGCTCCTTCCCAGGCTGCACGAAGCCCCCCAGCCCCCAGCCCTGCCACATGTGTGCCTGGCCTCCAGAGAGATCTGACAGCTCCGG